TTTTTCAATTTTTTTATTTTCCCGTTTTAACCTTTTTGACATATTTCAATCCTTTAATTTAAGACATTAAAGTTCTCCAATTTTTTACTATGTGGTTATTGCCTTATTGGTTAACAAATTAATAATTAAATATCCTGATCCACCAATAAGGCTCTTTATTTCCACTTTATTTAAAGTAGAAGTTGTGTGAAATGTGAATCTTGATTTGATTTCTTGCTTGTTTGTTTTGGTTGTAAAAATGAAGATTTTGCAAGTAGAAATTAATATTTCATAAATACACTTCAAACCAATTTAAAATAACATTTTAACAATTCATGAGATACTTAAGTTCAACATTTACAAATATCATACATTTACTCATGTACATGTGAACTACTTTGTCCGTCTTATCACTTGAACAACTCAACTCCTTCGTGACCAGAACTCACAACAGTGGAGGGTGTGCTTATTACTTGGGCAATTATCTCCTCTTTGCAAAAAGTGATTAATGCTTAAGATGTGTAAGTAATTAATACTTCATCTGTCCAGTTAACTATTATTGATTTGTCACACCTTAGAAAACAATAAATAAATGAGTAATATTACTATATTACCGTTTAAACATATTAAATTTAATGTTTTGAAAAATGTATTTGGTATTTAATAGCAAAAGTAAAATAGACACAAAAGGATAAATTTTTTCTTAATTTTCCAAGCTGTCCCAAGTATTGTTAGACAATTTTTTTTTTATGGAGAACAAGTAAAGATGGACAGAGGGAGTAATTTTTTAGTTTGAAACGTCAAACGTGTGAATTATTAATGAATTCCAAACATCTTCATAATATGAGAAATATACAATGTATCCACACATATATAATTAAAAATTAAATACGTGTGAACGTTGGCATATTTAATTTCATAATTCATTTTATCGTGCAGATAGCGTTGGAGGACAGATGTGCGCGTCCACTTTGCTTAAGTTTGACAGAGAAAAGTCTCAACTCTCAACACCAGCTGCGACGCCTAATTAGAGAAACAAAAAGAATGAACAATTCAATTTTCCGTTTCATTTCATTGTGCCATTATGTGTCTATACACATTTTAATTGTAAACACATCAATCAATATCCGATAAGTGAAGAAACTCAACCAGTAAATACAAGATAAATTTTGAAAAAATAAAAGATAAGGAGGATCGTGTCATTCTGCTCCCGTGTTATGAAGTGTGTCTGATCTGAAAATTTGAGTAGAGACTTTGGAGAATGCAGAAATTATACGTGGATAAGAAGAATCGCGGCAAAAATTGTGCCAATCAACCAATGAAGTGGTTTACTTCTGTTTGAATGAGATTTATTGTTGTCATCTTGTGGTGTTCCTGTAGATGCTACTCGCGCTGGTGGTGGGGGTGACAATACTGGTGCCTCGCATGTGCGTGATGTACCATTTGCCTGCTTATCAAAGAAAATCAATATATCTTTCCAGGGGGGGAACTAGACGAGAATAATGCAATGAAGTAAATAATGATAAAGAGAATCCAATTCTGGGGAGTGACAAATGAGGTGTTATGTTCATTTTAGCAGTTAACGTCAAAGCAAGCTAGCAAACCTTGCAATAGGCAATACTGCTACAGTTACAAGCTAATTGGCCGTTTGCTTGATCTACAGCTTCTGGAGCTCCACCACCATCACTTCTCTGCATCAACAAGTAAAATTTATAATGTTCTTATGGTGAAAAGAGATAATTTAAGCAAAAGAACAAAAATGTGGAGACTATACCTGATAAAAATCAACAGCAATAAAATTTGGCCACCTTTTGCCAGCTGCTTCAAAGCAAGTTTTTGTCATAGTAACTAGTGGAGCAGAATTATCCAAACAAGATTCTGTTGTGTTGGGATTCTCAGGAAAATAATTCTGCAGAACCAAAGAGATTCCCGATGTACTCAAAGCAGATGATTCAGAACGACTTCGACAAGAACCAGCTTTCATCCCGCCATTTCCATCTGCAGAACATACAGTAAACATGTCAAGTCATCAATAGTTTGAGCAACCATGTCTAATGATACCAAATGTAGGAAAGATGAGCTAGTGAAGTTGCAACTTGCAAATACAAGAAAATTTACACAAGGACCAACTTATGCCATTCAGAAACCAAAAAACAATGTTAATTGGCATAAGGCTCCTAGACTAGTTCTGAAGCATTTGCCTCTTCTAACACTTGAAAATTAAATGCAATTCAACATAACTTGATCTCACAGGAGCTGCTAATTAAATCACAAATACAAAAATTCTAGATTCACAAAGTATGTCATACAAGGAAAGCAGAAAGCAACATAAGCATCAAATTAGACAAAAATTGTTAACTCACATTGGTTTTCTACAACGTATCTCCACTCATAAGCAATGCCATCAGAAGCCTCCTTTGATGATTTAGAGGTGAAGACTACAAGACGTTGATTCTGCTTGACCATGTCATCCACTGTAGGCCAATCTTCTCCTTTTTTGGGCATACGAGAAATTGGAAACCAGTACTTATTAAGACCAGAATCATTAAAAACCTTGCTCAAGGCCTTTGGGGTTGAGACATAGTCTTCAATGAAGATTGTGACAACCTCTGATGGGTTTTTTTCGAGGAAACCTTGAATTTCTTTCAGTGAATTGCTTGCAGGTTGCTGAAATGATCCAGAAAGTAAGTTGCACCAATCAGCAACAACAAGAACGCTATATGAGTACTGAATCAGGAAATTAAGTATAACTAGGATGTGTTGGGACACTTACAAATGATGTAACATTGTAACACTTTCCACCAAATGAGTGACAAAGCCAGATGTCATTGCTGAACTCATACATATCAAGCATAAGTCCTCGAACGCCATTCTACAGACAATGAAATTTTAATTTCTTTAACAGAGTTTTTACTTTAATAAAATATTAGGACTTAAGAAGCTAATGACTTCTCTGCTTAAGTTAACGTAGTAAATGTCCATGTAGAACTTTCTGACATGATTACTACATATTTACCCATAGCATATTTTACTTTTTTTACTGGAGTAGTTCTCAGATTAGTTGAATCACACAGCTTTGAATTTTCCAAAAACAAATTCTTTTAAGGCTCGAAAGATTTTTACATAGAAAAAGTAGTGGGGAATAAAGGTGGCAATTTTATCTCATAATTTTGATATATTACTTGAATTATAAAGGTAAAAGTAGACTCCACTGAGAACCCAATTAGGACATTAGCATGTGGACAATTTTGATAAGATGGTTAGGTGAAAGCACATGCTTATGTCCTAAGCAAAAGTAAAATATGAGTTTTTTGCAATTATATATTATCACTCTAATCTGACTTTTATCTAAAAATAAATATGAGTTAGATATTCCATTACATTCAGCTGTTCAACCTTTTTTCTTTCACCTCCTGAGCAACTTTTTGAACTTCTACATCTATTCAGCTCTTTTTTAAAATTATTTTTACGGTGAAAATTCAGCTAGCTAATCAATTGAACAACTAAAATTCCTCAAATATTCAATTCATAATTAGAGAAAATAGAGCAAATCACCTTGAGCTGATTAGTAATGGAATCTTCCTGGTTGGTCGGAGCAAGAATATCAGACCCAGTTGCAGATTTTGACCCGGAAATTGCAAAGGAGTTGTGGGTCGTCAGCCACGAATACTTGTTGAATGGCAAACCTTTTACCTTTCAACCACAAAAATAAAAGTAAAAAATTCAATATACCATTAATGAAAAAAGGTTAAATAATTGGATTTGGACTTATGATATATGAAATTCACCTTGGTGGTAGGAATAGTGGGTTGAATGCGAGTACATCTGGGTCGGGTATTGCCATTAGCAGGACAAGTAGAGCAGACTAATCCTTCGTCACAATTACTGTCGGTACAAGTTTCTCCAATCTGTAATAAATCAAATATCCAAAAGAAATGACAAATTCATGAATGCGATCTAAGTGAGATTTAATTAAGATAATTAATGTGTAAGAACAAAATAATCAATAAATACCTTTAGGCAAGAACAATGATGGAATAAGAAAGAAACGGTGATACAGAGAATAAGAAACTTCATAGGTAGACGGATGATCTCCTGCAAAATAGAAAGAAAATAAATACAAGGATTTTTCTTTAACTGCAAAATAGAAAGAAAATAAATACAAGGATTTTTCTATAATGAGAATTTGAGATAATTAAGAGTAATTGGCAGCAAGAAATTTAGATTAAGAGATTGCATGCCTTCATCATGTAAGCTCTGAGGTTCTTCTCTCTCTCCAAAAATCCCCTAAATCAGTTTTTATAAATTAAGTTTCTGTCTAACTGTCCCCATTCTTAGGATAAATAAAAAAAACACGTTAGTTTTACTTTTAATAGGAAACAAATAGCTGCCCGAACCTTTTAGACTGTTTGCATGGGTTTATATTTGATGTTGGATTTGATTTGTTTTTATATTTTTAATTTGAAAATGAGGATTTAAAAGTATTGTTTTTTTTTCACTTAAATAATATAAAATATTTAAAATTATTTTAAACTTAAAACAGGTTATTTCTGCTAGGGGAAATTCTGCCTAATTGGAGTGTTTCTCTTTTTATCTCTTGAGCTTTTTGTTTTTTTCTTATCTCCCGTACTGCCGTACACACCTTTTTATAATTAAAGTTATATTAGTATGTTTCAACGGATGCAAATAATTTGATTAAAAATCGGTTCAAACAACTTATTTAACAATAAATATTTATAGTAATAATAAAATTAATAAGTAATAAAAATACTAGTAAATATTCTGTTATAGTATGCTATGGGTTATCGAATAGGACTAAAAAACTTGCCTGAGTATTGTCAAAATTATTAATGCGATAAATTCAGAACGAACTACTCCAACTACTATTGATGACCCATAAGATGATGTATTCATCTAGAATGTCCTTGGTCAATGAAGATTTTTCTGGATCTCCTGACAAAAATTTTGACATCTGCAATGCCTTAGTTTTGCACCTGGAGAATTTTCTTTGATTTAAGATCTGGTAAATATTATCAACTACATTAAATTCAACACCATCTCCAAGGCAATTTTGTTTAGTACTGTAGTCACTTTTTCAAACTTATATCTTCATCAATATCAAAAGATGTTCCATCATGTATCAGGCTTCTGTGAAAAGAACAGATCCGCATATAAATGGTTTCCTACTCTCATGCATCAATTTTGCACTGTCATCAAGTTCAACTGACTCACTAAATGAGGTATCGTCTGTTGATTTGCCAGCTACAATTGTTTGAGACTCATCCTCCCATCCTGAACCTAACAGATTTTCTGATTTATAACTGGAGCTAGCTGAAGCATTGATTTTGCTATCCAGGAATTTGTTATCAAGGAAATCATCCTAGGTAAAACATTAGATGAGAGGGGTTGCACAGAGCTTCTGGATCTCCAGTTTACACCGGCTGTGCAATGAGCAAGAGATCCATAATTTGACCGACTTGACCTTTCAATCTGACAGAGGAATCTGGACCCAGGATCATGCTTTTCAGAAGCACTTCCCCACAGAATATCAGAAGAAGATTGGATATCTCTCTGACAGAGCATTCTCCAGTCAGTTTCTTTGGCAGCAGGGAAGGAAGTTCAAGTGTAGCTTTGCAACTCTGAGCTCTGCACCTGCCTTTACTGATCTCAGAATATCTGGAAGGAGGAGCAGGGAATGGGACAGCATTAGATGAGGAGGATACTTCAACAGTTATATTCTTATCTAGGTTTTCCAAATCCAAGTAGCTTAAGAGAAAAGAAAGTGATAAAACTACACGATGGCGTAACACTGAAATGATTTCGACCATCTGATGCATAAGAAACTCTTTCTTCCACCAGCCAACCTTCCACAATTTGTCCCCTTTTAGGGAAGCAGGTGGTGGCTGCAGCCAACAGGAAAGGGAATGTGGAGTGGACAAAGCCACATGTACAAATAACATCAAATACTATGAATGCTAAGTGATGTTGCATAAAAATGTCGATATAGCGATTGCTCTCACCGGTACTTACAGTCCAGAGATTCGTGACAGTATCCTCAATAAAGAGAAGGACGGGGTGCCAATCCTACAAGTAACATTAAGAACCATTTAGTTACCACAAGAGATTCCTGTAAAACAACATCAAAGTAGCTTTATGAGATTAACACAATCAGTATCAATGGTGCCAACAAAGGGAGTAAAATGCTACACATCATTTCAGGCAATTTGATTGCACATCTAACATGGAACAAAAATGAACAACTGACATGCTCTGATAGACAAACAAACAAGAACCACACCTCGCATATTCCTACAAGTAACATTAAGAACCATTTAGTTACCACAAGAGATTCCTGTAAAACACATCAAAGTAGCTTTATGAGATTAACACAATCAGTATCAATGGTGCCAACAAAAGGGAGTAAAATGCTACACATCATTTCAGGCAATTTTGATTGCACATCTAACATGGAACAAAAATGAACATGTGACATGCTCTAATAGACAAACAAACAAGAACCAAACCTAAACTAACTCAATTCAATAAAATAAATCCAAAGCCTAACAAGTGACATGCTCTAATAGACAAACAAACAAGAACCACACCTAAACTAACTCAATTCAATAAAATAAATCCAAAGCCTCACATTCTTTTCCCAACCCAAAACAAATTAAGTCATAAATCCCAACAAAAAATTCACCTTAAATTCCACAGAGATCTTTGAAGGCTCCAAAGTCGAATCATATAAAGATCTAGGACAGTTTAAGTTCAACAGAAACAGTGGAATATATCTGAGATCTACTTCGCTTCTCAATGTCACAAGCACTGTGAAAACATAGCTATGTTATTAAGTAATTTATGTATTGGTCCTTTGGAAACAAATCTTGAATTGATATCTGCATTACGAAGGTAAAGGAAAACAAAAACAACATTAAAACAACCATCTGGTATAGAAAATGTTTACCAAAGATTAGTTTTTCGTTTTTCTTTTGGCCAGGAAAATATACTGAAATAAGTGGATACAAAAATATTGAAGGACCTGCAAATTAAATAATGGTTGTTAGGGAAACAGATGGTAGAAAAGATAACTTATCACATCTCTTATCCATCAATTTGGGACTTTATACGTTCATTGCGTAAAAATCAGGACCTGAAACGTATCGTGAGAGCTTGAATGAACCATCACTTGCATTCAATCTGTTAAGGGAGCTCAGATGAATCCCAAACCCACTGGACAATTGTGGCAACAGAGAAGGAGAAGCATTTGTGCAAACCAGGTCATCCTCACTACATGCAATGAACAATATCTAAGAAACCAGAAAGAAAATATCCGTAAGTTAGCTAGTGTAACAAAGACGGACCAGACTCACTGGACAATAGTGGCAACGGAGAAGGAGAGGCACATGTGCAAAGCAGGTCATCCTCACTGAATGCAATGAACAAAATCTAAGAAACTAGACAGAAAATATATTTAAGTTAGCTAGTGTAACGAAGACGGATCAGACCTTTCAATATCAGCAATTTTGAAGGAGACACTGGGATGCACAAGGGTGATTCTTGGCAGAGACTCTTTCAGAGAATGCAAGACCTTCTTTCAGCTTCCAGATTATCTATGCAAACCAAAAGATCAATCAGGTCAGAGTACAACTTTAGAAATAAAGTATGTAAATCAGTATTTTTCATTTGTTTGAATTGTGAGAAAACTAAAAGTACTTGGAGTGCATTTGCTTACTTCGAACTGGTTCATTGTAAAATACATCACGAACAATGACTGCAAAGAGAAAAATCCTAAGAAAAACTCCTTATTAGCAAATAACAGTCAACTCATGCATCATGCATCAGATAGGCTTATACGGAATTGCATGTATAAGCCTATATCATCATTTGTTGATAGTGATGAAGATAGTATGTTTGAAAAAAGTAACTATAGAGTATACTTGTTTATGCACTCAGAAACCAAGAATGGCCATAATGGACTATGCAAGAACAAAATAGACCTGATCAATTATAGCAGGTGTTGTGCTTGCCACAATCGGAATAAACTTCTTATCAACCTGTTGGAGAACTTTGGCACCCTTAAGGAAGTTTTTATCAATGGTATCAGGAACCAATGAATCACCGATAAAATGCACACGCCAGAAGTGACACTGAGTATAGTATCCTGATTCTTAAGATTCTCTGTTCCAGTACCGCTCTGCATCTCATATTGGGAAAGATAGAAGTCCATCATCTTAAAAAATTAGAGAAGAAGTCACAAAAACATCCGAGATATAGCTAAAGTACTCAACTGCAATCTCTAGGGAAGTCCCACCATTTTATCCCAGAATCTAAGAAACTTCGAGTTTTTGTTGGTGCAAATTCTGAAAAATTGATAAAAAAGGTCAGGCAAGAAAATTTTATTACAAGATCAAAACATAAGCAAGATGGGATTTGAAAGAGACATTGTAATTTCTAACGCTTTCATGATTAATAAGAATGCAGTCTAAGACAATCTTGAAAAATAGGTGAAAGAAGTGAAGTTAATTAACTGAAACATGCACTAGGAAAATTCAGCTCTTATTCAGGTCAGGAACAAATGGCAGGAATGGTTTCCCTTCTTTTGACTGCCCATCGCGTGTACCTGTGCATTCCCCCCTTGAGCTTCTAATTTGCTATTCCAGATGTTAAGAAGTTTCCTTTTCACATTTGGCATGAAGAAAGAAGCATCTGATCGTGTGAGTTATTGACATAATTAGTTGAGATAATATCAGAAAGAGACCTAACGCTCCCAAGAAATTTGATAACATAACCTTTCAACAGAGAATACACCGTCACCACAACTTGGGGTGGAAGGTTGAACATATTGATGGGATGACGGCTGTGAAAGCTCCTAGAAGATAGCTTCTTGAGAATGATGCAGTCTCCTTACTGCTCTAGGTTATGCACCATGTAAAAGAACATTAATTAGTAGCACATGTTTTCTGTCATCATTGATTATTAACACAAACAAGCACTCAAGGACAAATTACCTGGCATGAATGGCACATCATGAACTGTCTTAATTTTAATCATCATCCGGCATGGCACATCATGGGTGTTGTGTTGTGTTTGACACAATCGAAATTAACTTCTTATCAACCTGTTGGAGAACTTTGACACCCTCCAGGCAGTTTTTATCAGTGGAATCAGGAACCAGTGAATCACCAAAAAAAATGCAAGACGCAAAAGTTACATTGAGTATAGTAATCCTGATTCTTCAAATACTCTGTTCAGTACCGCTCTGCAACTCATATTGGAAAAGAAAAAATTCCATCATCTTAACAAAATAGAGAAGAAGTCGCAAAAATATCTGAGAGTACTCAACTGTAATCTCTGGACGGCAGTCCCTCCATTTTGTCCCATAAACGAAGAAACTTTGAGATTTTGTTGGTGCAAATTCTGAAAATTTGAATGAAAAATGTCAGGCATGACAATTCTATTACAAGATCAGAACATAAGCAAGATGCAACTATATAGCCTACGAAACTTAGAAAAAGACAATTTGATCTCTAATACTTCCATGATTAATTAGAATGCAGTCCGAGACAATCTTGAAAAGTGGGTGAAAGAAATGAAACTAATTAACTGAAACATGCACTAGAACACTTCAGCTCTTATTCAGGTCAGCAACAAATGACAGGAATGGTTTTACCTTCTTTTGACTCCCCATCGCATGTACATCTTTTGACTCCCTACCTCCCTAAAAAAGTTCATTCAAACAAATTCTTGAACATCCTTAACATCCGCTGAGAGAATGACAACACAATTCTTTTGAATTTATTGGATTTCGTTAATATTTGCAACGGCATATTCTTGAAAACTACAATTTCATATTCTTGAAAAGTACAATTTCTTTGATTTCCTTAAAATATGCCGACAAGTTCTTGAATTTTCTTAAAAATTATTCATGCAAGAATTCTGTAAAATATGCATATAAGAATATCAATGTCACTTCAAAAAGCCAACAATTCTTGAATTTTTCTAAAAAAAGCATGCAAGAATTTTCCTTCTCTTTTAGTGGATGGAAGAATACCAAAATAATGGGAAGACCAGTACTATTACTTGAGCAGATAAGAACCGCGGGAAAATTAGTTTAGGGTTTCTTTTTTTAATACCAACTTTTTTATTTTTTTCTTAAAAAAAGAAGGCTAGAATGCATACAAGAATTCCATTCGAGTACTCTAGTAGATAATGGAAAGAATACCAATAGATTGATCGCCGGGAAAAATCGATTTAGGAGTTTCGATCGACATCGTCATCGGAGAGTTAAAGAGGGTTTTGATCGACATCGTCATCGGAGAGTTGACAGCCGAAGTACTAAGACATGAAAATCGATTTAGGGGTTTTGATCGACATCGACATCGTCATCGGAGAGTTAAAAAGGGTTTTGATCGACATCGGAGAGTTGAGAGCTCTGCCGGAGAGTGTAAATGACGGTGGTTTGTTCTAAAATGAGCGGGTGGGGTTTTTTTATAGTTAAAACACGCAGAAAAAAAAAAGAAAAATTAATACACGCGGAAAAAAATATAGTTAGGCTCTAATTTTTTAAATTCCAAAAAAATAAAAATAATTAAAATGAATTAGGCTCTTAAAAAAGACAAAATTGAAGCATCATTAATGACTTTTTTTAAAATTCTTTTGTTGTTATTGATAAACTATTATTATAGTTATAAATTAAATATAAATTATAGTTACAACTTAAATAAAAATAAACTAAGGTAAATTATACAAATATCAGCCCAACCATATTTATTTCCAATAAAATGGCATCTGCCTTTTCTTTTTCTTGTGCGTTCTTCCTCCTCCTCCCTCTTTTGTGCCTTTTTTTTTAAAAATTCGAATTTGAGATTGTTTTGAGATGATTTGAGTTGATTGAAATTAAATAGTTAGTGTATACTTCATATATAATTCATATTACTTCATGTATAGTTAAATTATTATTAATTTTTAGAGTATATCATAATGTATAATTAGTGTATAACTATGTCAAGATAAGTTATAATGTATAGTCTATCATTTATATGACATTTGACAAACTATAATATATAGTTTATATTTTTATATGACATTTGACAAACTATTTGATTTATTATTTGAGTTTTTTAGTTTATTTGTTTAAAAAATTATTATTATTATTATTTTAAAATTTTAATTTTTTTACTTTTCACGTGACATGTTTAGGTCATGTGATTAAAGACGCTTTGGTACATTTTAATATATTTTTAATCAGAATCATAAGATTCACAATTTTTTTTTATTTCTTAAACTTCGTATCAAGTCAAAATCCGAAAACAAATAAAATAATAGTTCTAACTTTAAAATTTCATTCTATTATTAATGAGATGATTTAGACTAAGTAATATTTACTTCATTAAACTTCTTTTTAAGATTTAAACCACATTTTAAAAAAAAAATCATTCATAAATTTCGTGGCAATATGTTTTTTCTTTTCACCTCGTTAATTGGAGTTAATATCTTAAAAGATCACTGAACTATGAGAAATTATCTTGTAAAGTCACTAAACTTTATTTTGTATCACTAAAATCACTCAACTTTACACTTTTATCTTCTAAAATCATTAAACTATATTTGTCACCAAAATAAATCTGACATGGCAAAATAAATTATTTTTTATGCCATGTCATCGTGGACCCCACAAATAAATAAAATTATAAAATTAATTTATTTTAATGTCATGTAATCATGGACCCCACAAATAAACAAAATTATAAAATTTATTCATTTTTATGTGTTCCCCTCTTAAATCCTGTTTTTGCAATAAAATCCGTAACTTTTTTTTTTTTTTGGACTATTTCAATCAAAATTTCTTTCTTATCAACAACATTTTAAAAATTATAATCAACGTTGGAAATAAATGTTAAATTCAATGGCACATACAATATTGCCTCCCGTGTCCACCATGTGACATAATCATACTTGTACATCAATTCCAATATAAATAAGCAAAACACAAGTAATATTAGAGCATTTCTAAAAAATATATTACATACTAGGCTGATATGAGCACCATTGTTAGCAAACAAAAAAAAGAACGACAACAATATATAGTGTTGTAATAGGTGTCTCACATAACCACAAAAAATTACAAAGATAATTTCTATACTTTGCTATGATTTCCAATCTTCTTCTTCTTCTTCTGAACTTCAACAATGTACTCTTTCATGACTTTTCTCTTAAAGAGTCTGCCTCTCTTAGAAGTATGAGATAGTCTAGTAGTTTCGATGCCTTTAATTGCAACTTCATCAACACCTTGAGCAGCCACTACATCAGTTTGAACAACTGTTACCTGTTCTTCAATTGGTGCCTTGTGAACAAAAAAAAAAAAAAGAACTAAAGATAATGGTAGAGAAAGCATTCAAATTGTATTAACTTTAAAACAATGATTACCTGAGTTATGGTCGATTGATATGCCAAATTCAATCCTTGGTGATTATTATTCCACATCTCCGGGCTATACACATTTAAATAATCCCCGTCATTTGAAGCTTCTTCAGCTGGACTTATAGCAAGAACTTGTTGATCGTCAACAAGAACTTGTTGATCGTCAACAAGAACTTGTTGATCGTCAACAAGAACTTGTTGATCGTCAACAAGAACTTGTTGATCGTCAACAAGAACTTGTTGATCGTCAACAAGAACTTGTTGATCGTCAACAAGAACTTGTTGATCGTCAACAAGAACTTGTTGATCGTCAACAAGAACTTGTTGATCGTCAACAAGAACTTGTTGATCGTCAACAAGAACTTGTTGATCGTCAACAAGAACTTGTTGATCGTCAACAAGAACTTGTTGATCGTCAACAAGAACTTGTTGATCGTCAACAAGAACTTGTTGATCGTCAACAAGAACTTGTTGATCGTCAACAAGAACTTGTTGATCGTCAACAAGAACTTGTTGATCGTCAACAAGAACTTGTTGATCGTCAACAAGAACTTGTTGATCGTCAACAAGAACTTGTTGATCGTCAACAAGAACTTGTTGATCGTCAACAAGAACTTGTTGATCGTCAACAAGAACTTGTTGATCGTCAACAAGAACTTGTTGATCGTCAACAAGAACTTGTTGATCGTCAACAAGAACTTGTTGATCGTCAACAAGAACTTGTTGATCGTCAACAAGAACTTGTTGATCGTCAACAAGAACTTGTTGATCGTCAACAAGAACTTGTTGATCGTCAACAAGAACTTGTTGATCGTCAACAAGAACTTGTTGATCGTCAACAAGAACTTGTTGATCGTCAACAAGAACTTGTTGATCGTCAACAAGAACTTGTTGATCGTCAACAAGAACTTGTTGATCGTCAACAAGAACTTGTTGATCGTCAACAAGAACTTGTTGATCGTCAACAAGAACTTGTTGATCGTCAACAAGAACTTGTTGATCGTCAACAAGAACTTGTTGATCGTCAACAAGAACTTGTTGATCGTCAACAAGAACTTGTTGATCGTCAACAAGAACTTGTTGATCGTCAACAAGAACTTGTTGATCGTCAACAAGAACTTGTTGATCGTCAACAAGAACTTGTTGATCGTCAACAAGAACTTGTTGATCGTCAACAAGAACTTGTTGATCGTCAACAAGAACTTGTTGATCGTCAACAAGAACTTGTTGATCGTCAACAAGAACTTGTTGATCGTCAACAAGAACTTGTTGATCGTCAACAAGAACTTGTTGATCGTCAACAAGAACTTGTTGATCGTCAACAAGAACTTGTTGATCGTCAACAAGAACTTGTTGATCGTCAACAAGAACTTGTTGATCGTCAACAAGAACTTGTTGATCGTCAACAAGAACTTGTTGATCGTCAACAAGAACTTGTTGATCGTCAACAAGAACTTGTTGATCGTCAACAAGAACTTGTTGATCGTCAACAAGAACTTGTTGATCGTCAACAAGAACTTGTTGATCGTCAACAAGAACTTGTTGATCGTCAACAAGAACTTGTTGATCGTCAACAAGAACTTGTTGATCGTCAACAAGAACTTGTTGATCGTCAACAAGAACTTGTTGATCGTCAACAAGAACTTGTTGATCGTCAACAAGAACTTGTTGATCGTCAACAAGAACTTGTTGATCGTCAACAAGAACTTGTTGATCGTCAACAAGAACTTGTTGATCGTCAACAAGAACTTGTTGATCGTCAACAAGAACTTGTTGATCGTCAACAAGAACTTGTTGATCGTCAACAAGAACTTGTTGATCGTCAACAAGAACTTGTTGATCGTCAACAAGAACTTGTTGATCGTCAACAAGAACTTGTTGATCGTCAACAAGAACTTGTTGATCGTCAACAAGAACTTGTTGATCGTCAACAAGAACTTGTTGATCGTCAACAAGAACTTGTTGATCGTCAACAAGAACTTGTTGATCGTCAACAAGAACTTGTTGATCGTCAACAAGAACTTGTTGATCGTCAACAAGAACTTGTTGATCGTCAACAAGAACTTGTTGATCGTCAACAAGAACTTGTTGATCGTCAACAAGAACTTGTTGATCGTCAACAAGAACTTGTTGATCGTCAACAAGAACTTGTTGATCGTCAACAAGAACTTGTTGATCGTCAACAAGAACTTGTTGATCGTCAACAAGAACTTGTTGATCGTCAACAAGAACTTGTTGATCGTCAACAAGAACTTGTTGATCGTCAACAAGAACTTGTTGATCATCAATAAGAACTTGTTGATCATCAATAACATCCCGGAAATCGTCATCTTCATCGGACAAATTATAGTCTGGATCACTAAACTCCTCATCCACTTCATTAGTTACATCACCTCTAATACCTTGTAAAACAACTTTAGTTGAATTTCCCTCAATTAAAACATTTTTGTCCACACCATTATCCTCCCTATTATCAACTATTGTATCTTCAATGCCGATATCGCTAACAACTTCCAAATAGTTTGAAAAATGTAGTTCTAAAGCCTTTGAAGTTTCAGGAAAACATGAACCAGAACTCTGAAATAAAAAAGATAGAAAAAATACTTAGCATTAAATATTTGCTTTATACTAATAATAGTATAATCATAAAAAATAAACAAGTCACTCTTACAAACAAATAAATATTAATCCATAAGAATAATTTATAGCCTGAATGAAAGAAACCCCATATAGGCTAATGCCTGAATTTTTAATTTTAGAGCACTACAATGGAGACTAAGGTTACAAAGACATTAGATAATCACATCCTCGTACACGAAATCAACAATGAACTAACCTCCTCTAAATACAGGGGAAAAAAAATTAGAATACAAAAAGCCCTAAACCCATTTCGAGATTCTACAATAAAAGGACAATATAGTTAAAAATTTATATTTTTTACCTCGTTTTGAAGTAGGATTCGTTTACCAAGCGCGTAGTGGTCCCTTTCGTCGGCATTAGAGGCTTGTGGGTGCGGGGGGGACCATTCTTTTACAGATTTCATCACATTATTCCTCGAAGAAATGAAGGAATCCATTGTTTATGAAAAATTTCAGCATCAATAACCCTTAAAATAGACTTTTACAGTGCCTCTTTGTAGATGAGAATTTTGGGGAGAAATAGAGAAAGAAGTAGAAGGAAGCGGGGAGATTTGGGGAGATTTGGGGCAGAAATAGGTTTTACTATTTTAGAAGAAGACAACTTATGGGTGGGTATGTATATTGATAAATTAATTTTATAATTTTATTTATTAAGTGGGGTTCCACGATGGTATGAGATAAAAATATTATTTGCCATGTCAGATTTATTTTGGTGACTAATATGGTTTAATGATTTTAGAAGATAAAAGTGTAAAGTTGAGTGATTTTAGTGATACAAAATAAAGTTTAGTGATTTTACAAGATAATATCTCATAGTTCAGTGACCTTTTAAGATATTAACTCCGTTAATTGTTATCCAGAAAAGAGTAACATGGCCAGGGGATGAGTTCAACATCACACGTACAATCTCATTGGCTGAAAGATGAATATTTGTCTGTGTTTCATTTTTAGATTTAACTTATATTACATGGAAAAAACATTTTTTTAGAAGTTATTTTTAGTTTAGGTGTTTACATTATTTTTATATCCCTCTTTTTGTATTGTATTTTCTGAAACCACCACATTAATAGTATTTTTTATTTATTTTTGGAAGTGATAAAAAAAGAGATGAAGGAAAAAAAAATTAGAAGATAATAATTGATTTTAACAATGTAATTAGTTTTTGTTCTTTCCTACTTTTAAAGAATTATCTACTATTGAAGTTACGTTGCTAGGATTTTATCCTTCAAATCGATACTATTACTTACTCACTTTGTAAATTTCATTATTTTTCTTTTTATATAAATAAATGAAACTTAATTTTTTAAAGGGGATATAATAGAATATCTCTAAATTAATAGAACTAGTAAAATTATCCGTGCTTCGCGCGAGAATTTTATATCACGGAATTAATAAAATAATACTTAAAACCTATCTGTCATTAAAACTAAAACACTATATTATCTTACATACAAGATTACGTAGTAACAAACATTAATAATGTAAAGAAAAATGAAAATTATTATATCTTATCATTTATCCTTAATAACATAAGCATAAATTAATTACTGTAAAAGTATATACCAGGATCTGTAACATATGGTGACAGTGAGTCACTCAACAGGAGCAAAGTACACAAATAGTTAATTGTGAAGAAGAAGAGGTTCAAAATTTTCGTTGTTTTAAAATGTGAGGAAATCCTCTATTTATAGACAACAAATGGTAGTGTGAAAAATGTTTATTGTGCCTTATAAAAAATGTTACAACTATTTGGAAAAATAAAGGTCACAACCTTTCATAAAAGTCACAACTTCTCATAAAAGTCGCAACTCTTTCATAAAAGTCACAACTTCTCATAAAAATCGCAACTCTTCATTAAAGTCACAACTTTTCATAAAAATCCCAACTATTCATTAAAGTTGCAATTTTTCATAAAAGTCACAACTTTTCATAAATGGGGAAGGCTAATTTTGAAAATAAATAAATAAAAATGGGAATTATGATTTGTGGTGGTGCCATGTATGCGGGCCTAAGGTTTTCTTTTATATATATATATATATATATATATATATATATATGATTTATAATAGAATCTCTATAAATTAATATTATTGCAACCATGAATTATTATTGTTTTATAAAGATATTATTTAATCAATAAATTAATATTTATTAATTAGGAGAGTGTTTTCGAGATTCAATAAAGTTTCCAGGAATTTAAATGAACCCATTTGTAAAAAAGATATTCATGAATTCTAGCTCATGAGTAATGATCTCGACTACCGTTATAAAATGAATGTTAATATCCGTTGGATTACTCAATTAAAACTAAAATGATACATATTAAGAGGCGAAAGCTTAGAAGAAATTATGGATACCATCGAAGAAAATAATATTGCTGGTGTGATTAAAGACAATATTTAAAAACATTTCAAACCAGTTACGCGTAAGAAATCACTTATTACATCTAGAACTCTTCATAATTTTTTGGTGAGAAGACAACATCAGATTTTTTGGTTGTAATAAGAAAGGTTAGAGATAACTCCAACTATATTTCAAGTTTAACAAAAAAAACACTAGAATCATATTTCACTTAATTATCTTAGATATTTTTGTAATTTTAAAAAATTGTTAATTTATAATATTAATAAAAGTGTGAGACCATACATTTATATAGAGTCCTCGAAAAATATATTATCTTGTCAAAATTAGTGATTTTTCGAGTGACCCAAATCAAGATTGGTGAAAATATATTATCTTAAATTTTTTAAATATTAATTTAGAGAGATTCTATTGTAATTTGAAATTACAAATAATTGAATGATAAAAAGATGGGAAAATTGTATATAATAGCAAACTATTAATTCAAATTAAATGCTATAAATATAGTTTGATTTAATTGTACCTCATAGCAAACTGTTGCTATTTCACCTCTCTCCTGGTGAATCTCGCTCGCCACTCTCGTTCTCTCCCTCGCCTCTCTCGTTTTTTATACAAACGCAAGTGTATAAAGTGCGTTTGTGTTTGTATAAAGCGAGAGAAAATTGTATATATACATATATTTTCGTTCCCCTCTCTCCCCTCTCCCAGATCTAGCTCGCCACTCTCCCAGATCTCGCTCTCTCACTCACCAAACTCACTTTATACAAAAAAACGCAAATTGTATAAAATGCGTTTGTGTTTGTATAAAGCGAGAGAAAATTGTATATACACATGCAAATACATATATCTTCGTCCTATACACTTATAATTATACAATACAAATATTCTCCTGCCTTATACAATTGATCTTTTTGTATATGTATACCAAAATAGATTATACAACTGCTTTCTTTTGTATATGTATAGCGAAATATACATATTTATGTTTGCTATGAAACGCAATTATGCAAACTTTGCTATAACATACAAATATGAATTTTGTGTTTGCTATATGTGAAAGTTGCTCTAAAAAGATACTCCATCAAATTAAAGAAAAAATTAGGGAGAAAAAAAAACAGGTGTTTTTTTAGTCCTACATACGAGATAGACTTTATTAAATTAGAGAAATTTTGGAAAATCCATTAGCTTAAACCGTAAGCAACACGCTTGCGGTTTAAAGTGTGCGTAGAGATTATGCAACTAACCTCTTCTTCTCTATATTTATATACCACCATTCCACTACATCACAATCAGAAGGGTCTTCTTCTTCTTCTTCTTCCTTTGTCTGTCTCATGTCAATATTTTTGGGAAACACCGCTTCAAGTAAGTAGAACTTCATTATTTATGCTTTTATGCATTGTGTTCTGTTTTTATAGTTTTTTTTAAGTATATTTTCTTGATTACTACATAAGCATATGAATCAGTGTAGTTGAAATCAAGTTCAACAATCGATATAACTGGGATCCAAGAAAAGAGGCAACACAATAGTATAAGAAAAGAAAAAAAAGATTAATTCTTTGATATCAAGAATGTGTTTTCATATATTAACGACACAGTTTTCAAATTTCTTGAAGAATTCTCCACTTTCTTGCATATTCTTCAAAGCTTAATTTTCTTTCTAGCTTGAGTTTGGTACATTACAATGTCTTATAAACTGTATTTTCCATACAATGCTCTATAACCTCTGTCCAAATACGCTAAGAAGAAAGACCACATAGGCTATTGCATGGGAAATTGGGAATGACATACACAGGCGAGGATTGACATATATAGATGCTACACTTAATACTGCCAATTTCATGAAAGGAGAGATATCATATTTACTTTTCTAGAGAAGCAAGGCGGCTTTGGAATTGGTCGAAAAGTTAAATCTGCTCCTTGTGGAAGTAGCTATGCTTATTGAGCTGTACTCTTCTAAAAAAATGTTAGTAATAACTGCAATATCTCAATGAGATTTCTTGTGGTGGGTAGTGTTATTGCTTACAATTTCTGGAACAGATCTTGTGCCAGCTGTTCATGCTTGTAGTTGTCTTTAATTAGTGATTAGAAAATCAATCCAATCTGCCTTCCTAACTGCAGGACCATTAGACTTTAATGCAGCAACGAATGCTACATCTGGTCAAGCACAAAACGTATCTATGGACTCGTCCACTTCACCAACATTTGGAAAGAAATATGACTTTAATAGTGTTGCCAATGAACCTTTGGTGTGGTCAAGGGATGTCAATGTCTCAGACTCCTCCATACTTGGATATCCAAGAGCTCCTGCATTTGGTGTTTCAAGCAACTCACACTTTGGCACCCCAAGACTTGATTCATACTCCTTTGGCCAACCAACAGTATCTATGTCAGGGAGCAAAGGTTAGCTCTATTGTCCATTTTCTCATGTATTGGAGCAGATTAATCAACATTTTGAGGGAGAATTTTGTTCTCTAATCTATATGCTCTGTATTGATCTGAAATCCCTGTTGAGCTTTTATTAAATGCTACTGAGTACTAATTATTTCCACTTCATATTTTGGATATTATAAGTGTTCAATCTTGATCAAATTTGCAAACCAGGAAAAGAAAGTACACCACCTTTTTTCAAGAGCTATGGTTTTGGGAAGTCAGCATTTGGCATTAATCGGAAAGGAAGTAGAATAGCATCATATATTGCAACTCCAGAGAACAATATCACAGGACCCAGTGGTGAAAAAATTCAATCCATTTGTGGAATGCAGACTTATAAAGATAAAAGCCAGGAGGAGTTAAGGTTTGAGGACTACCAGTTAGGTGATAAAGGTATACTTAACTTGTTCTCTTATGTGATTCTGCTACCTTTATATGTGCTTATCTTCCTGCAATTAAGTTAATTTCAAACAAATTCTTTGGTCTCTGTCCAAGTACACTCAGAAGAAAGACCATTTAACCTATTGGTATCTTCCATGAGGTGATTTAAAAAGGCTGTCCTCCTCCCACCTGAGAAAATGAACTTGCCTAATATTTCATTCTTCCCCAGGTTACGCAATCCAAAAGATAATTAAAAAATCTGGGCATTTGACCATTAAGCCAAGCTATTGTATGGCTGTTTGGGTGCATTTTGGGGGTGATTTCACCATGGTGGAGAAGGCAACAGTGGTGGGAATATTTGGTTGCCTATGGAAGACGAATAATCTTTTATAATGAATGTCCACACTGGTAATGAGCTTAAAATGTACCTGGCGCACATGCATGTCCATCTTTTGAATGATTCAGCACATTGTTTATTTGGTTTTAGTCATTTGATTAGGTGTAGAACTGGAGACATCAACAGGATACATATGACTACTCCAATTGATATTAGATAGAAGGCTAAAAGAGAACAAAACTTACCAATCAAATAAAACAAAGAGGGAGAGAGCAGAAATTGAAATATGGAACTTCATATGAAGTCACAGTCAAAATGCAAAAAGGTAACAGTGAGTAATTCAATCAGGCTGACTGTTTTCAGTACATAAAAAATGAGAGCACGTGAGTAGGAACAATGGCCAAAGAATGCCAAAGCAGAAGAATAGAATTAGGAAGGAGTTGTGTCCGATGCATGAGGAGTTTTATACAATCCTAAAAATCTGAAAAATGGTGCTAAAAGAAACTGTCCCGATATTCAATTTAAGCTCAATTGAAAGGCGTCTGAAAGAACCAAGTCACAACGACAAGAGGTGGGTTGCTGTGAATTTGTGATGCTAGGCTCAACTTACTGAGTAATGTTGTAGCACTAATAGCATGCTTTATGTCAGAACATTAATTTATTAGTGCTAAAAGAATGTGAGTTACTTCGTCTGACAAGTGAAATAGCAAAATAGGAAAGAGATTGCAGAGATCACAACTACTAGGGTACAGCATGTCAGTTAACCAAGTAATCCTCCTCTAAACATGACAAAATAGAAGTTTACAGAGAACTATGACCGAAGGATGCACAGACAAGTTAATAAAACATTCGTCTTCATCTTCTTTTTTTATGACAAGGGAACCCACATGGGAATGATCTACAAACACTATTTGAATATGTTATTCCCATGATTTCTCTGCCAAATGGATTAACCACAGCTTTCTTTCTCGCCTGTGGTCCAGGTGAGGAATGGCATAGATAGATGCTACACTTATACTGCTAATTTCATTAAAGGAGAGATATCATATTTACTTTTCTAGAGCAGCGAAGTGGCTTTGGAATTGGTCGAAAAGCTAAATCTTCTCCTTGTGAAAGTAGCTATGCACATTGAGCTGTACTCTTCTCCAGAAATGTTAGTAATAACTGCAATATCTCAGTGGGATTTCTTATGGTGGGTAATGTTAATGTTTACTATTTCTGGAACCAATCTTGTGCCAGCTATTGATGCCTTGTAGTTGTCTTTAATTAGTGATTAGCAAATCAATTCAATCTGCTTTTCTAACTGCAGGAACGTTAGCCTTTAATGCAGCAATGAATGCTACATCTGGTCAAACACAAATCATATTTCCGGGATCATCCACTTCACAAACATTTGGAAAGAAATATGACGTTAACAGCGTGGCCAATGAACCTCTGTTTTGGTCCAGAGATGCCAATGCCTCAGGCTTCTCCGCATTTGGATCTTTACAAGCTACTTCATTTGGTGTTTCAAGCAACTCACACTTTGGCACCCCAAGTTTTAATTCCTATTCCTTTGGCCAACCAGCAATATCCATGTCAGGGATCAAAGGTTTGCTTTATTGTCCATTTTCTCATGTGTTGGAGCAGATTATTCAACAGTTTGAGGGAGAGTTTTGTTCTGTAATCTAGATTAGATGAGCCGATTGATATAAGATCATATACCGTTCAATGTGCATTATTATATGCTCTAAAATGATCTGAAATCAATGTTGAGCTTTTGTTAAATATTACTAAGTACCATTTATTCCTACTTTATATTTTTGAATATCCTGAGTGTTCAATCTAAAGATCAAATTTGCAAACCAGGAAAAGAAAGTACAACACCTTTGCTCCGGAGCTCTGGTTTTGGAAAGTCCGCATTTGGTATTAACCAGAAAGGAAGTAGAACAACATCATACATTGCAACTCCAGATATAGATAGCACATGTCTCGATGGTGGAGGAATTCAATCCATTTGTGGAATGCAGACTTATCAAGATAAAAGTCAGGAGGAGTTGAGGTTTGAGGACTACCAGTTAGGTGATAAAGGTATCCTTAACTTTTTCTCTTATCTGTAGATAACAAAGAAATATACCTTGTATCTCATTAACATTTTTCTACTTCATGGGTGAATCTGCAGGTCAGGAATGTGGTTCTTCATTTAGTGTTTCCAGCGCACAGGGATTTGGTCTCATCAACAACATGAGGCCTTTCATATCACCAGTGTTAAACCAATCAACTGTTGATCAACCTTTTTATTCCCATTTTCCAAGAACATTTGCAGTGGAAAGATCAGGGGTTGACTCTCTATCAAAAAATGCTACCTCATTTACGAAGGCACAACAGTCCATTTCCCATATATTTCCCCCAAACCCATCATTGTTGAACTCTTGTGGCACTAGAAATAGAGTGGAATCTACTGCCTCAGATGTTTCTTTTTCTCCGTGGAACAATTCAAATCAGTTTGCACCTTTTAAACCAGCTTCCAGTTCTTCCACTGCCTCCACCTTTTCTCCATTAAGGAACCCATTGTCTTTATCAACATCTGCCCCTCTATCTCCATGTTCAGTCTCACCTTCCACATATCCTTGGTTAACTAAGCCATCAGGCCCTGATTTTGATCAGAAGAACTCTTTTTCTCCCACTCCTGTTTTAACTACAGGAGGCGCTTCACAATCCACATTATGCTTGAACTGCCTAAAGCAGTCACAGCCTACTCCAGCAGGACTTTCTAATGTTTCAAGCACTCCACTTGCTGCGAATCAAAATACTGTAAGTGTTTCTGAACGTATATGCAATTAGATCTCATTTATATATCTCCACCATTTGCTTTCTGTCATAAATATATAAAAGGCACCTTGTGGTCTATAAAATCGGTGAAGCACTTCTATTGCGGTGTTGTACATCTAAGTTGTTGCCCACTCTTGCAGCCTCTGTTCTTTGGTCCTCTGCAGCCAGAAATGACTCCTAAACTTGGAGCAACACTCCCAACAACCAACGCTTCTCACCCAACAACAGGTACACTTACTGCAGTATGTTTTGCTCTTTTTGATATCGATAGTATGTTGGATTGTAATCAATGTAACTAATCCTCCTGGCACCTGTTTCCTGTAAGAAGGTGCTAGTTGCTCAGAAATTGGACAAGGAGTTGGTCAGCAGCCAAGTATGAATGGCCAACAGTGAGTATCAAACTTAACTATCTGTTCTTTTACTTTACTTCGTGTGTTATTAATTGCCTAATTTTGACTTCTAGACTTCCCTCACATTCTTTTTATTTCTGCTGCCTCAGTTATTACTGCACAGTCCTCTCGTTTTAGTCTGATCGTTTTATTCTTCTTGTGTCTCTTCTTTTTCTTGCCTCCGAGATCTTTCTTTTTGTACTTTCTCATGCAGCAGCTATACCTTAACATATTTTCAGGTCTTACTTTCCGATAATCATGGAAGTCAAGCCATCACCAAATATGCCTCCTGCTGAAACACAACCCTCAGTCCAAATCTCAGTTGAGCACCCGTATTTGGAAACTTCCATCCAGTATGGAATTTCTAGTTTACCTGTAAGTTTCACATTTCTGAACAAGTAATTATAATTAATGTTGCTCCTGGATGTGTTCACTGTTCTCAAACCAAGTATCACACTCACTAGAAGTTACATGATGTACTGGGAATCTGGGATGCCTCGTTACTATTGTTATAATGTTATGCACCTTGAAAGACAGATTTATTTGTCACTTTTATAATGTTGTATATTTATGCTTTCATGTCAAGGTAGATGCAACTGTGTCTAGTTGCTGGGGTTTATATTTGTTTGGCTATAATGAAAATTGCCATAAAAATCGGAGAACATATACTAAATAAATTCCAGTATTTCTCCAATCAGATATAAACATCAGTATAGTTGTCCAAATTCCAAATTAAATCTTCAAAGTATCAGGCATGATTATGTTTTTATTAGCTTCACTATATTGGTTATGCTTAAGGTGAAAACATCAGTTGTAGGCTATTATGAAAAATTATCCTTTTGTTGCTTGCAGGTTTCTAACAACCCTGCTCCGGTCAGACGAAGATCTTCTTTGATAATTCGACATTCATCTCTAAGTCACCATAAGTTGCCACCTCAGAAATACAAACCTACAAGTGATAAACCAAAGGTGAGAAGTATAATTTTATGTGAGACTTGTTTAGTAGTTCGTGGGCATGCTTTGGTTGATGGACCAAAAGTTTAAGTTGCAATCATATGCAAAGATTTGCAAGTATGGGTATCCTTTCGTTGAAAAAATACAGGACAAAGTCCATATTTTCCTCTAATCCAAGTAAAACACTGAAAAATTTAACAGGACTATAATATTTGTTTATGTAGGTACCCTTTTTCATGGATAAAGAAAACGCTTCTGGTGTACTAAGGACAGAAGTCATCATCATTCCAAGGGAAAACCCAAGGGACTGGGTTCGTCCTACCGCAGAATCTCCACAAGGGGCTGATTCATCTATGGACAGTAAGCTTTTTTTTTTAATGAACATATGCATGCATGCCTTCCTTTCATTGATTGGTTCAGCTGGATTCTAATAGATGCATAAGTCAATTGTCATAGTTACATGTAATGTTTTAGTTAGTGGATTACTTAAATATCAAGTACCATTTTATATCTGCTCCATCAAGATCCCATTTCCTTAAAGCTCAAAGCCTGGAATCTCTAATAGTTCAAAATTAAAACCAAGTAACTTCACTGATTGGTGATTTGTTTACAAGATCACGGACACTAGAAAATTATAATTTGTTATCTATTTGATATATCCAAGGATATACAACTTGACTTTTGCTATTTTAATTCTAAGAATTAAGAACCAAATTAACCAAGTTTGCTATTTAATTGTGTAATTCCTTTTTCTGTTTAAAATGTAGGGATGCATGATGGAGACAAAATTGTTCATAATCCCAAGTTAGAGCCTGAAGAGACACATCATGATAATTGTGGCGATGATAAGGATGTGGATGGCATAATGCCAAAGCTTCAACGTGCTGATTACTACACAGTTCCTCCTATAGAGGAGTTGCTATCAAAGGAGAAGGAAGAAGCTGGTTTTTGTTGCCACGTGAAGGACTTTGTGGTAGGAAGACATGGGTATGGAAGCATCAAGTTCTTGGGAGAAACAGATATCTGGAAGCTTGATCTTGATTCTGCTGTTCATTTCAACCATCGCGAGGTGATCATCTATATGGATGAGAGCAAGAAACCTCCAGTTGGACAAGGCCTCAACAAACCAGCTGAGATAACTCTCCTTAATGTCAGATGCATCAACAAATCGACTGGGAAGGAGTACAGAGATGGACCAATGGTCAACAAGTACAAAGATATGCTTATTAAGAAAGCAGTAGAACAAGATGCAGAATTTGTTTCTTATGATCCAGTGGAAGGGCAGTGGAAATTTAGGGTATCACACTTCTAATTGATTTTGTGGCATAACCAAATGTTTGAATTTTAAGATGTCCTCCAACTGATATTTTTAGAATTAGCTCACTTTGATTTTGTCCCACTCTTTTACGCACTTTTGTTCCCAGTGTGCCAAGTTGTTATCACTGGATTTCATTCAAAGTTTACTCATTTTGTGTGTATCTCTTGCAAAGTTTTCTGCTTTTATCTCCAATTATTCTTTTCTTTTTTCACTTGTTTGTGGGTAAATAGTTCTAATGAATCCTCGTATTAATGAATGCCTTCAGGTCCCTATTCTTATTCAATTTGTTAAGACACTTTATAAAAATTTCTGTTATTTAATTTTGAGGTAAAATACTGATAATAATATTTGACACAGCCTGGAATACAAAGCGTAATCACAAAATCAGGGGACAACCAAACACCATAACTTCCTTTCTCATTAGCAATCAATAGATTCAATGTGAACTTGTAAATAGTTTTTGCTAGTTATGTTTGAACTTATTATTAAAACTAGTGGGGAGTTTCCCGTGCTGCGCGCCACGCACGGGCCCAATATCTATTTTACTGTGATGAACTTTAATTTGTGAGTAAACCATGACACACTTGTCTTTGTAAAGGCTTAGCCCATTCGATTAGATTATGTTCTCCGTGGGGACAGTTTTTGTCCATCATTCGACGGCCTGTCAGCATTTTTAGAAGAACAACCCCGAAACTGTATACGTCACTTCTGGCGGTTATATGACCTACACATGAGAGGTGACAATCAGAAGGTGAGAAAAAAATTACTCCAGGCTATCAGAGCAGAAAGGGGAGGTTTCAAAGCTGAAACATTTAAACCGAAAGACGTAATTCTTGAATAGGGATAAATAACAGAACAATCCAAATAGCATTACACTTCCAATTTCTTTCAAAACACATAGTCTCGAGTACGAAAGACTTGCAAATTAGACATATAGACGACTATCAAGAACTGAAAAGAGGAGATAACTCTTAAGAGAAACATTACTGAAATATATATGCCAAACGCTCTGACAGAAACAAATTTGGGTGAGCAGGGCCATGTCCGTACAGAAACGGTTGGAGCAAATTGAAAATACAACAACAACATATATGAAGGTAGAGAGGTTGTTACCAGTAGACGCTCAGTTCAAGTAAAGCATAACAACAATTAGGAGTAACTTGAAATTGTATATTACCTGTGGCCATATACTCGGGAGCTCTAGTAGATACATGGCTTTTACGGTCAATTGGCCCATCCTTCGCCAATCCAAAATCAGAAAGCTTTGCATTGTAATTCTGTCAAACTTCTAGAAGACTAAATTTCAAAGTGGTTCCACATACAACATCAAGCAAAATGTCAGATGATTTGAAATCCCGATATATAACTTTAGCTTTTGGGCTATCCGGAGATTCCATGACAGTGGTTGGAAATAAGTACTGCCTGTTCAAGATGTACCAAAGGTTAACGATATGTACCATACAAATCCTAATATGTACCATAAAATTTTTGATGCACTCCACTCAAAAGCTGCCAATGAATAGAATATAGTGCTATATATTATTGCCTGTGAAAACACATACGGAAACTCAATAGCAACCTGCATAGAAAAGTGGAGCACTGTTAAGAATACCGAAGAAAAAAGAAGTTTTTTTTAACTGTAAAGGAAACAGAAATAGGGGGACACCTGAGCAAATGCAAATGGTAAAGCTGAGTACATCCCTGCAGCTCTCTCTCGGTATGAAACAAATCTTTCAACGGAAACAAATGGTTGGACAACAGTGCTATTTGTAACTCCAATGAACAACACTGCAATGTACATGGATCCCATTGCATTGAATAAATCCTGCTGTGAATCCCTGTTGAGAGTAATATATCAATAGTTACAAACAATATGATCACGACAAAAGACTGTAAGTACCACAGGACAAGCCATATTCGCATGAAAAACGGATATGTGAAGTACCAAAAGCCTGCTACTCAAATAAGCAGTTACGATTATCCAAGAATCATGAATCCACATGCACCTGAGTTTGTTCCAAGAAAAACACAGCCAACTACTGCTGCAAGTGAAGATTCAAAAATGGCTATTGATGTTGATTCTTTCACATGGTTGAATAATTTTGTCACAATAGGATTTAAGGCGAAGAAGAAACAGGCGACAATTCCGAAAGCACAGAGGTTCCTCCTTCTTATGCAACTATGAGCCGGTGTGCTATTGATTTTCTGTACTTGGAAATATCATTTGATACTAAAGAATGTCAGTCCAGGTCCTGCTGAATAGGTGCCAGGTGACTGGTTGCTGTTAATAATTTCGGAAAACTTACAAGGTCTTAGAAATCAAGTGCACCCACAAATAAACAAGCATATGAAACACACTGCACTGCACCCACAAATAAACAAGTCGAACAAATTTGAGGAGCAGTAGAGACACACCTTCAACTAGAAAACAATAGGCTTCTTCCGATATTGCTCACAAAGATTGTACAAATCTGTGGAAATCAAATACGTATATGAAGCACGGAGTAGAATGTAAAAGATACGCAACATCTAAACTTCTAACCATTCCCTCTTGCCTCTGAAGACTACATAACTTTCACTAGTGAAGACAAAGAGCGTCAGTCAATGTTCAATCTAAAATTATGTATACTGGATCTGAGGTAAATAGTACTGAACATTCAGAGAAATTTAAAGGTGTGTCATACTCGGTAGTCGAGTTACACATCTATAAATAAAATACAACAGAAGTAACCTAAATTAAATGACAATACCGAGCCAGGAGTCAATTTTCACATTGATTTAACATAATATAGATCATCCACTGGAGTGATGTGTGATGCATAGTTTGAACAATTTGAGACAAGATGTCACCTATGTTGTGACCATGGAGGTTCCAGTAAGAGTGGTGAGACAGGTTAATCGGAGTGGCCTTGTTTAGTGATTTTGCCTCAAATTCGACACTAAGTTTATAAGGATCTTTCAATGCATAGGTACCAGAGACAAGGAATTAATGGACTGATTCATCAATTCATTCATACCTTTCTTGGAAAGGACACTAAGATTTACCCTCTTCGCCATCATAACTGTGGTAGGTTAGAGTTATGTGAGGACATGGACCATCTTGCACGTATTTGTTGACTCGCTTACAATTCACAGACCCTTACATAATTCAGATGAAACATTGTGTGTAATACCATTAAACAAATGTTATGGGACATGGACAATTCACCTTGTTACTTACATATCTTCAGACTGTTGCACCAAGTCCATGTCTTCAGCAGTGAACTGCTTTGGAATATGTATAGTCAGCATATGTTAAGACAAATCAGAAAAACTAAATAACCAATCCTTTTGTCATAGAAAACAAAAGTACGTACCTGTTCAAACATATTAGCAACAGTTTCCAATTCATTCGGAATTCTGAATAGCCTATAGCCCTAATTGAGATAAATCCTCTACCTGAGCGACAAAAGAGAGTGGAGTCGTAAGGACTAAGGACAGAACAGATAGAGAGAGAGAGAATCAAATAGCATTTAAATCGGAACTACCAGTAAACTAATAGTGAAAAGCAAAACAAGGAATCTATACATAATCATTTCTAAGCAAAGCTTGGGATCCAGAATGCTCCTTCTCAAGTAACTGATTGGTATACAAAATCAATAATTCGTTTATCACTTTCTGCAGCACAAATTTGGACTCAACACTGAAAACAAATCCCAACTAAAGGAAGATTTTCAACATGATGGAGGCCTGAATTTTCAGTATTCCAAGTCAAGTATCTATCAGGCGAATACTTTTAAACCAAATGAACAATACTGTAGAAATATGAGATTGTTAACTTTCCTTTCATGTTTTATTTCCTTGAACAAAATTTAAAAATTCATTGACCAACCACCACCTCGCACCAACGAAGAAGATGTGCTTCAAGTAATATCACACTTAAGATTTGGCTGCAGCGGACAAATATCACAAAAACAAGAAGCAAAGTCTCCAGAAGTTTTTTCTCATTACTAACATGGAGATTAATATAATGACACACTCTATCCTTCTCTTTCTTCAAATACTCTTCTACCTGTGTTAGCAAAGCATGTGTATCACAATTTAACCGGGCAACTTAAAGCAATAACCAACTGTTTATGGAGAAAATTATAAAAATGAGTTGTACCTTCAACGTATAATCTGAATAAGAATCTTCCATGATCCAACTTGAAGCTTTTCGAGTATCTCTAAGCATGGCATCTTCAAAGTCATTCACATAATACTCCATTTTCCCCTTCCAATTCCAACAAATACATCAAAAGAACGTTCTTTAATAAAGTTGTATCAATCTGCTTACCCTCACAATCTTTTTCAATCTGATATCAGCTAACTCTTAATCAGACCCTCATAAACTACCAAATAGTATCACAAGAATTGGGGTCAATAAACTAGTTTAGGTATAAAACTCGCAAAATGGTGATAGATTAAGATTTTTTAACCTATTCACTCTATACCAAAAAGACCTAAAATCACATGCACTAGTTGCAATGTTGATGGGTGCATATTTGATGAGTCCACAATTTCGACTCATTTAGGGTATTTTAATAGATTTAGTGTCCTTAAATGCATATTTTGTGCCAATAACTGATGTAAATCTACGATTTTCAGGTATTTGGATTGAGGAACAAAGCATGGACACTAATGAGCAAAAAGGAACAAGGCAACTTAAAGAACGAAGAAAACAGGGCCTGATGATCGCCTAACCCATTGGGCGAGTCGCCGAATGGCCACGATCTCGCCTAAAGTTCCAGTGTGCCAAGCCCTGAAGGAGAAAATCGAGTCGGCGATAGAAAGGAGCAGTCGGCGAGTTGCCGAACGGTTCCGCGATGCAGTGCTAGATCGCCCAAAGTCACAGAACTTGAAGATGTTGAAGGCCAAAGCAAAAAGGCGATGAAATTGACCAAAGGGAGGATCGCCGAGTGGATCGGCGATCCTGACATATTGCGCCGAATAGTCCTTCGCAACATATTTTTGGCGACTATAAATACATTTTAAAATTCTTAGTTTAGTATCCAAGTTTTATTATTATTCAGTTTTCAAGTTTGGAACTTAGAACTGAGAGTATTGAGACAATATTTTCCTTAGCATTGAAGATTTGAAGATTTCCATTTTTGAGAAATTGAAAGTGGGTCTTTGAGATTCTTCAACCTTGACCTTTGTAAAGACGAAATTAATCGTACCCAGTTGATGGAAACACAATTTGGTAACGATTTTTATCTTTTTATGATGTTTAGCTAAAACCCCAATTCTTGGGGTGTGATTATGTGGTTATGGATTGATTTAGGTGCTGGGTATTGTTAATTGATAGTTTAAATGTTGTTTAAAAGTGATTTCAATCAGTAATTGTGGTTTAATTTAAAGGGTTGTAGTTGCAAATGCAACTCTAACTTCGTGTTTTTGGCTTACTCGAGAGACAAGTTTTAAAACCAAGATTACTGATTTGATGGTCTGTGGGTATTGGGTTGTCATGGGTTCAGCTCGAGAGAGTGAATCCTAAACCTTTTTCCACACATTTAGCTCGAGAGAGTGAATGTACTAAAGCATAGACTGTTCTTAATTGCTCCTTATTGGTGTTCGAGAGAAACCAATTTGATTCGGGGTAAATTGTTTGAGAGAATGTTTACCCCACTAAAGTCTAGCTTAGTCACTGATTTACAGCTATTTACTATCAGTTGCAATCACCCATTTATCTACCTTAGCCCATAATCCAATCATATCCCAAGAACCCGTCTCTTTACTTGTTTATTCGTGTTATTTATTGTTGCTGTAGTTGATAATTACAATCAAAACCCCCCATATTTGACACTTGTGTCACCCTTAATTGAAATATGCTTTTATTCGTAAATGTCTTTACCTATGATTGACTTGAACATATTTGCACTTGGCTCCTGAATCTTAAGCACGTACCACTCCCTGTGGGATTCGACCCCAACTCACTTAGTTGGGTTATATTACTGACTAACGATCGTTGGCACTTAGAATTGGAAGAAGTGTCCTGATACGTGAAATCAAAATGGCGTCGCTGCCGGGGAGTGGTGTTGGTTAAGCTTCTTTAGTTAAGTTGAATTTTGTTCTTGTTAGTCATAGTTGAATTTACTTAATTCAAGTTTTGTTTTGCTTGTTTGTGTTTTGAAACAGGAAGTATGAGTGTGAACGGCAGCAATGGAAGCAAAGTAGGTCATCAAGATGACATCGGTAACCTCAACGATGTCAACGAGCCTAATGTTAATGACCCTCATCTTATGGGTGGTATTGGTGTCATTCGCTTTCCCCCAGCCGAAGGGAATGCGGTGTTCCACATCACAAGTTTTATGTTGCAGCTCTTGCAATTGAAAAAAATGTTCGGTGGTTTGGCTCATGAGGATCCCCATGAGCATATTAGAAACTTCGTGGATGTATGCGGACCGTTCTCCTTCAAGAACATATTCCAAGAGTAAGTCCGGTTGAGATTGTTCCCGTTCTCTTTGATGGGAGAAGTATGTAAGTGGCAGGCTGAATTGCCACGTGAATCAATCACTTCGTGAGAGGAGTTAGTCACCGCATTTCAAGTGCGATTTTTCCCTCCTTCGAAGATAATGACTCTTCGGGACAACATTTAGAGCTTCAAGCATCTAGAGGGTGAGCCAATTCATGAAACTTGGCTATGATTCAAGAAGTTGGTGCTCCAATGTCCAACTCATGGCTTGCCTGACAACGTGTTGCTTCAGTAAACAAGGGTGTTGCTGACCAACTTTCTCCAGGAGGTTTGATGCAACAACCTTATGTGATAGCGACTTAGCTCTTGAATGGCATGGCCACAATCAATCGGGCATGGTACACCCTCGAAGATCAGGTCTCCCCTCTCACATTCAAATTGACCAAAGAGCAGATGGAGAAAGACCACGAGAGGGACCAGAACATAGCCAAGATCATGACATAACTTGACATTTTGTCCAAAAATGTCATGGGAGCTGGTGCTCGGAGTATCAATGCCGTGGGTGTCGGGTGTGCTAATCCTGATGAGGCAAAATTTGAGGCTTTGTACAGCGAATAGGTGAATTTCCTAGCCAACCAAGGTGGTGGTTATCGTTCAAACTACCCGAGGCAGGGTGGTAACCAAGGTTGGAATAGAGATGAAGGTTGGGAGGATCATGATCGAGAATGGAGGGATCGAAATCCCAATTGGAAGGATGGAGATAAAGATATGTATGTGCCTCCCCATGAGCACCAAAAGCCAAAGGATTCGGAAGGTGGCCGGTCGGAGGATATGCTTTCTTGTATCCTCCAAAGCTCTAGTTATGGAAAGTCCGCATTTGGTATTAATCAGAAAGGAAGTAGAATAGCATCATACATTGCAACTCCAGATATAGATAACATATTTCTCGATGGTGGAGGAATTCAATCCATTTGTGGAATGCAGACTTACCAACATAAAAGCCAGGAGGAGTTAAGGTTTGAGGACTACCAGTTAGGTGATAAAGGTATCCTTAATTTGTTTTCTTATTTGTAGATTACAAAGAAATCTACCTTGTATTTCATTAACTTATTATACTTCATGGGTGAATTTGCAGGTCAGAAATGTGGTTCTTCATTTGGTGTTTCCGGCACACAGGGGTTTGGTGTCATCGACAAAACGAGGCCTTTCATATCACCAATATTTAACCAATCAACTGTTAATCAACCTGTTTATTCCCATTTTCCCAGTACATTTGCAGTGGAAAGAGCAGGGATTGACTCTCTATCAAATGAAAATTCTACCCCATTTTCGAAGCCACTGCAGCAGTCCATTTCCCATATATTCCCCCCAAACACATCATTGTTAAACTCTTGTGGCACTGGAAGTAGAGTGCAATCTACTGCTTCAACTGTTTCTTTTTCTCCATGGATCCATTCAAGTCCGTTTGCACCTTTTAATCCAGCTTCCAGTTCTTCCACTACCTCCACCTTTTCTCCATCAAGGAATCCGTGGTCTTTATCAACATCTACCCCTCTATCTCCATGTTCAGTTTCACCTTCTACATATCCTTTGTTAGCAAAACCATCAGGCCCTGATTTTGATCAAAAGAACTATTTTCCTCCCACACCTGTTTTAACTACAGGTGGCGCTCCACAATCCACATTTTGCTTGAACTGCCTAAAGCAGTCACAGCCTACTCCACCAGGACTTTCTAATGTTTCAAGCACTCCGCTTGCGACGAGTCAAAATACTGTAAGTGTTTCTGAACTTATATCCAATTAGATCTTATTTATATATCTCTGCCATTTGCTTTCTGTCATAAATAATATAAAAGGCACCTTGTGGTCTATAAAATCGGTGAATCTCTTCTATTGTGGTGTTGTACATCTAAGCTGTTGCTACTCTTGCAGCCTCTGTTCTCTGTTCCTCTGCAGCCAGAAATGACTCCTAAAGTTGGAGCAACACTTCCAACAACCAAGTCTTCTCACCCATCAACAGGTACACTTAGTGCAGTATGTCTTGCTCTTTTTGATGTCGATAGTATGTTGGATTGTAAACAATGTAGCTAATCCTCCCGGCCCCTGTTTCCTGTAAGAAGGTGCTAGTTGCTCAGAAATTGGACAAGGAGTTGGTCAGCAGCCAAGTGTCAATGGCCAACAGTGAGTATCAAACTTAACTATCTATTGTTTTACTTTACTTTGTGTGTTATTGAATGCCTAATTTTGACTTCTAGGCTTTCCTCGCATTCTTTTTATTTTTGTTGCCTCAGTTATTACTCCACAGTCCCGTTTTAATCTGATCGTTTTCTTCTTTTGTGTCTCTTCTTTTTCTTGCCTCCGAGATCTTTCTTTTTGTACTTTCTCATGCACCAGCTATACCTTAACATATTTTCAGGTCTTACTTTCCGAGAATCATGGAAGTCAAGCCATCACCAATTATGCCTCCTGCTGAAACACAACCTTCAGTCCAAATCTCAGTTGAGCACCCGTATTTGGAAACATCCATCCAGTATGGAATTTCTAGTTTACCTGTAAGTTTCACATTTCTGAACAAGTTATTATAATTAATGTTGCTCCTGGATGTGTTCATTGGTCTCAAGCCAAGTAATCATACTCACTAGTAGTTACATGATGTACTGGGATACCTCATTACAATTGATGTAATGCTATGCACCTTGAAATACAGTTTATTTATTACCTTTATTATGTTGTAATTGTGGATGCTTTCCTGTCAAAGTAGATGTACCTGCGTCTAGTTGCTGGACTTTGGCTTTATATTTGCTTGGTTTTACTGCATCAAGTAGGTTTATATAAATAAATTTCAGTATTTCTCCAATCAGATATAAACATCAATATAGTTGTCCAAATTCCAAACAAACTCTTCAAAGTATCAGGCATGATTATGTTTTTATTAGATTCACTATGTTGCTTAAGGTGAAAACAACAGTTGTAGGCTATTATGAAAAATTATCCTTTTGTTGGTTGCAGGTTTCTAACAACCCTGCACCGTTGATAATTCGACATTCATCTCTAAGTCACCATAGGTTGCCACCTCAGGAATACAAACCTACAAGTGATAAACCAAAGGTGAGAAGTATAATTTTATGCGAGACATGTTTAGTAGTTCCTGGGCATGCTTTGGTTGATGGACCAAAAGTTTAAGTTGCAATCATATGCAAAGATTGCAAGTATGGGTATCCTTTCGGTGAAAAAATACAGGACAAAGTCCATATTTTCCTCTAATCCAAGGTAAACACTGGAAGATTTAACAGGACTATAACATTTGTTTATGTAGATACTCTTTGTCATGGATAAAGAAAACGCTTCTGGTGTACTAAGGACAGAAGTCATCATCATTCCAAGGGACCGGGTTCGTCCTACCGCAGAATCTCCACTGGGGGCTGATTCATCTATGGACAGTAAGCTTTCTTTTTTGATAAACATATGCAAGCATGCCTTTCTTTCATTGATTGGTTAAGCTGGATTCTATTAGATGTAATGTTTACTGTAATGTTTTAGTGGATTACTTAATATCAAGTACCATTTTATGTCTGCTCCATCAAGATCCCATTTCGTTAAAGCTCAAAGCCTGGAATCTCTAATAGTGCAAAATTAAAACCAACTTCATGGATTGGTGATTCGTTTACAAGACTTTGGACACTAGAAAAATCATCATTTGTTATCTATTTGAGTATATCCAAGGATATAAAATTTAACTTGCTACTTTACAAGTTCCAAGAATTAAGAACCAAACTAACCAAGTTTGCTATTTAATTGTGTAATAATTCCCTTTTCTGTTTAAAATGTAGGGATGCATGACGGAGACAAAGTTGGTGACAAGCCCAAGTTAGAGCCTGAAGAGATGCATCATGATAATTGTGGCAATGATAAGGATGTGGATGGCATTATGCCAAAGCTTCAACGTGCTGATTACTACACCGTTCCTCCTATGGAGGAGTTGCTATCCAAGGAGAAGGAAGAAGCTGATTTTTGTTGCCACGTAAAGGACTTTGTGGTAGGAAGATATGGGTATGGAAGCATCAAGTTCTTGGGAGAAACAGATGTCCGGAAGCTTGACCTTGATTCTGCTGTCCAGTTCAATCATCGTGAGGTGGTCATCTATATGGATGAGAGCAAGAAGCCTCCAGTTGGACAAGGCCTCAACAAGCCAGCTGAGATAACTCTCCTTAATGTCAGATGCATCAACAAATCGACTGGTAAGGAGTACAGAGATATGCTTATTAAGAAAGCAGTAGAGCTTGATGCAGAATTTGTTTCTTATGATCCAGTGGAAGGGCAGTGGAAATTTAGGGTGTCACACTTGTAATCGTGAGTTCAAATTTTCTTGGTTGGTTTTGTGACATAACCAAATATTTGAATTGTAAAGATGTCTTCCTGCTGATACTTTTTTACAATTTGCTCACTTTGATTTAGTCCCACTAGAACTCCCACTTTTTTTATGCACCCCGTTGATCCAAAGTTGTTATTACTGAATTTCTTTCAAAGTTTACTCATATTGTGGATCTCTCGCAAAGTTTTCTGGTTTGAGCTCTCGGTTGTGGTAAGTTATATCTCCTCCAAGTAACCTTTCTTATTGTACTTGTTTGTGGGTAAATAGTTATAATGAATCCTCATATTGATGAATGTATTGATCAGGTCCTAGCTAAATATTCTTATTCAATTTGTCGAGACTGTCTACTTGCCTTGATGCTGCATAGTCCACCATTTTGTTTCTAAATGTTCCTTCCATAGGTACGTTTTGTCTTTGTTGCTCACACTCTTCAAAAATGTCAATGGGTGTGTGTCGAATTCTCCTAAAGTAGTGTATTTTTGGAGAATTCGACACGGGTGCGACATTAAAGTGAAGAGTCCGCAACTTAGCATTTTGTGACACGGTTTGAGATTATAAAATGGGGTCAACCATTTCGTTTCTAACGTCCTTTCCCCAATTGCCTACTTAATGTGTTTTCTTGTAATATTATTCTGTTGTTTTGAGTTAATATCGAAAATAATATAGCTAAAACGTTTGACAGTTGACCGACCGCTATATTTGATATACTGGATTCACATATATGGTGTATAACCACTAATCTGCCTACACAGCCACTTCAACTTGTCCAATGCAATCACCTGTGCTCTGTTCAATATACCACTCTACGGACATACTATCCGGTTGTCCAAAAATAGTATAAGCTTCATTACGCCTTCATAATTTAGTGGTATTACACTATTATTCAAAAAAATCACCTTAGCGCGGCCTCTTTACCTAGTTTTATTTTAAAATAAGGGGTATTACACATAATGAAGAAGATGTTTTTTTTCTTCCAAAATTATCATGGAGTCCAGACATTTAATTAAGGATAAGATATTAAAATACTTCTTATTTACTAGAAATAAGAGATGTCTCTAAATTAAAAACACCACTTATTATAAAATAAAGAAAGTATATTAATAGTAAAAAATCATAAAATGAAAAACGCCTAGCTGAAAATTGATAAGAAAATATATATAATGATCTAAATGAAACATCTATGCAATAACTGCCCAACAATAAAAAAACATCTGTGCAATAACAGCCTAACAATAAAAAAACATCTATACTAATCTCATGTCTCCAAATCAAATTCACATAATTAATTATAGAATGCTTAAAATAGAGCTTGTTGTTCTATATCGATTAATTGTATAGTTACATGTTACTTTTTTATCAATATGTGTATTAAGTAACTTTGTTGACCAAAGTTTGAATAGAAAGGGGGGAAAAATCATCTAATAGTCTTACCTTTGCTGAACTCAAAATCTTACTATAATTCTTCACCCGACCACTAGATTACGGATTAGTGGCTGCAATTCTATTTGTAAAAAGAAAGGGAAAAAACCAAAAAAAGGAAGGTACCAGTTCATTGCCTCTAATAAAAGCCAAATCAAATCTATAATTTTTCATACTCTCTCTGTTCCTAATTACTTGTCCACCTTTGAATTGACACACTTATTAAGAAAACAATTAATGACATAGTGAGTTTATCATTTTATCTCTATTAATTATGAAGTGGATGAAAAATTCTATATTTTTCAAAGTAATTAGTCATTTAATTGAGGGTATAATAGGTAAAAAAAATTGTTCTTTCTTGATTTGTCAAAATTGACAAGTAATTAAGGACAACTATAAAAGGAAAAATGGACAAGTAATTAGGGACATAGGGAGTAGTAAAATTGACCTTTTCTGGGTGTGGTTTAGTCGAAAATACAAATAATAAAGACAACATCAATCAGTTTATATCATTTTATATCTGTTTTATTCTTATTATTAAGTATTATTACTCCTTCCATTTATTTTTACTTTTCTATTTTGGATTTTACACGTCCTTAAGAAATAATAATGATATAAATTTGTTTTGTAGTCTTTGATCTTTAGAAATAATTTGGGGAATAAGTAATTAATGTTAAGAATAAATAATTAATATTGAGGATAATATATGAAAAGAAAAATCTCTTTCCTTAACATGTGAAAATTAACATGTGAAAAATAACAAGTGAAAATGAAAAATCTATTTTAAAATACTGTAAAAATAAAAATGAACATATTAATAATTTTCAATTCATTTCCCGAGATGACTTATAGTAATAATTAGAAGTCAGCTAGTACAATTGTAATTCAATCACTTATTTCTTCGAGTAAAAAACTGAACAAGTAAATATAGTACAGTAATAATTAGAAGTCAGCTAGTAAAATTGTAATTCGATTACTTATTTCTTCGAGTAAAAAAATACTCAAGTAGATATAGTGAAGGTAGTACGTATAAATTAGCTCAAACTGCATAAATATAATGAAATTCCAACTGGCAGTTGATACTAAAAAAAAGTTTTTAACATTTATTTTTTCCTGTGAGAGATACTCTTGGTCTCCTATCTCCATGCCCTTCAGTCCCTCAATTAACTGCACTCTCACGCAATATTTGGCATACAAAACAAATAAACAAACTAGTACCAACGTGGGTGTTGGACTTTTCTATTACTATATACTACTACTTCATTATTTCCTCATCATTCTCACTAATAGTCATCAATATCCTAGATCTACTCATCTCTATTATTTCTCCAATTCCTCCTCTTTGAATTTATTAGATCAATCAACAATGTCGTCAACGCATCATGCTAAGACTGATTCGGAGGTGACGAGTTTAGCCCCATCATCTCCGAATCGGCCCGTTTACTACGTCCAAAGCCCGTCAAGAGATTCGCATGATGGAGAAAAGACTACTAATTCTTTCCACTCCACTCCTATACTCAGCCCGATGGGCTCACCGGGCCGACAATCTCGTGACTCGTCCTCTACGCGTTATTCGGGCTCGCTAAAGCCCGGTTCGCAGAAGTCGAGTAACGGGTCTAGAAGCAACAGCGGGAGACACCATAATCATCGTCATCGTAAAGGAGATAAACAGCAATGGAAAGAATTTGATGCTATTGAAGAAGAAGGATTACTTGATGACGATGCCTATAGTAAAAGTGTCCCTCGTCGCTGTTATTTCTTGGCTTTTATTGTTGGATTCTTTTTGCTATTCACTTTCTTTTCTTTGATCTTGTGGGGTGCCAGCAGAAATCAGAAACCTGTCGTTACCATGAAGGTAAAAATATTTATACAATTAGATCACCTGTAAATTTTTTGGATCAGACAAACTGTGTATATAAGTTAAATCCGTATCTAGATCCGGTTGTTTCATTGAAGTGATTTATAAATGTGTGCAGAGTATTTCATATAATGAATTTGGGGTTCAATCGGGGATGGATTTCTCGGGAGTTGCAACAGTGATGGTATCAATGAATTCTACAGTGAAGCTGATATTTGGTAATACAGGCACATTCTTTGGGGTGCATGTAACGTCTACGCCTCTTGTTCTTTCCTTTTCACAGCTCACCGTTGCTACAGGAACGGTAAGTAGTCAACTACGTTTTATTATTTTCCAATTCATATTGTGCCTTGATCGATGTACTTAGAAAACAATAATTAATACTCGTTCTTATAAAATAAAATAAAGAATCTAATTTGACTTGACAAGTAGATTAAAAAAAATAAGTAAGACTTTTCAATATAATGATTCTTAATCAAAGTTATGTCAAATGTCATTTAATTTTGTTGTTTTAAACGTGTCATATTAAAAGCTGAAATTAAAGTGTTGACAAAGGAAATGAATAAAAAACAGACTAAAAAAGAAAAAAATACGTCATTTTTTTTAAATGAAAGGAAGTATATATATATTGCGCTACTTGTCTTATTTTTTTATATGCTTAAGTTCAACTAAAAAATATCTACACTTTAGATCACTTACTACTAAATGACTACATGTAAATCTCTTGATAAGTATTATTTGATCTCTAGTTAAATTAATAATTATATAGAGGGTGGGGGAGAGGTAGGGAAATAAGGGAGAGAATTACAAGATGAGAAATATATAATCTAACGTTAGCTTATCAAAAAAAGTTTAAGTTCAAGTAGCCAACCAAAATCTCTCTCGATTAGAACGTAACTAACATGCTATTACGGATAAAAAATCATTGATAGTGTAATTTTTTTTTACATATTGTGGGTGAATTACTAATCATAGTCTTTATGTATTTGGGTAGAGCAGATAAAGAAGTTTTACCAAGGAAGAAAAAGTCAGAGAACAGTAACGGTGAGTTTAATAGGAAATAAAATTCCATTGTATGGAGGAGGAGTGGACTTGATGAGCAAGGAGGGTAAACCACTAGCACCAGTTTCGTTGTCCTTAGATTTCAAGGTTCGAGCCAGGGCATATGTTTTGGGAAGACTGGTTAAGCCCAAATTTTACAAGAGGGTTCAATGCAACGTTGTTATGGAACCTAAGAAAATGAACGTTCCAATTTCGTTGAAGAAATTCTGCACCTATATATGACTTATAAATTACTACTAATCAACAAATACGCACGGCGGTGTTAGGTGTAACAAAGAGACAAACAAGTTGAGAAAAATATATAGGCAAGTGCTTGCTAGCTGCTAAGATTTGTAATAATTTTTTGAATTTTATTTATTATTTTAGAGGAAAATGAGGTGTGGCTGCCAGGTAATTTGTCGGTTATGATTGTGGTATTGAGTGAATTATAAATGCCATCATAAACATAGTATTTATACTTTTTTTATTTCTACATCTTTTGGTTCATTCAATTGAGATTTGTACTGCTAGTAATGAGTCCTTCCGTATGTATGATTTGCGTGCTATTCTTGTTGTACTGCTAAATATTTTTCATTAAATTAATCGGACACATTAAATCGATGAATACAAATAGTAATTAAAATAATACTTATGTATTTTTACTTTAATTTTTAATAACCTTTAACGTTAAATTGCTCAATTTAATATAAATACCAAGTACAAAAAGTCAATTTTAATGGCAATCTCATTATTGATTGTCATTTTGAGTTTGCTTTTTCTTTCTTTTTTTGGGTAAATCATTTTGAGTTTGCTTACAATCCCTTGGACTTGAAAAGAGATCATATAAGAGAAAATTTCGATATAAATAAAATTTGATTCATATTTTTTTATTTATCAAAAATAGAAGATTTTTTTAAACGTATA